TCGAAAAAGTAAAACATTGACACGACGACGACGACGGACAATCACTCATATGATAAGCTCCGCTTGACAAAGTCCACAGCGGAGCTAATAAAAACTGCAAGTTCAAAACATTTTGTTGTGAGTGCTTAAATTTTACAATATAAAATATGCTGAACTTAAAGAATGTAATCAATTGATGATCATCCAAGTATTGGATATATGACTCCAGGTTCATGTGATCACTAATTACATGTGAAGTTTATGTTGTTGAAGCCACATACAAAATAGTTAACAACAACAACAACCACAGACAGACATTACCCCATTACATACATTATATTACAGACAACAAATAAAGTTGCAGCCACAACATTGATGAAGTAGAGTATCAGAAATGAATGAAACAGAATAGCAAAAAGTGCTGCTTACATAGAGAACTACCAATCATATTGCACTTCAAAATCAGAATACTCAAGTGCTTCTATAAGTTGCTCATTTCTGAACTCTGCCCTGGAGATTGTTGACATAGGACTACCTTCATGTTCCAACCAATGCTTCCTTAAGCAAGCATGAAGAGATTTATAAAGAAAAGACAAGAGAGGAAACAGAACATGAGAAAGAATGCATTATTAAAGAGTAAGTTAAGCAAGAAAGAAAGTAAAGCTGCAAGTATTGCTGAACATTTTCAATGAGGAAGAAGAGTTAGTATAAAATGCGATATAGTTGTATATAAGGATGTTTATGAACATTATCAGTTTGACAAAACAAATGACAAAAATGCTTGATTTGAAAATTGATAGAGACAGTTGATAGAGTTCTGCAGACTTGTAAAGTGTTACCAAAACCGTACTCAAAAATTGTAGGGTCTTTAGCAAAATAGAATATATTCAATATACACTTACATGATTTTTATTTTATCAGCTGCTCCTTGCATTTGTCCAAGAACCGTGCCATGTGATGTGTTTTGCACCCAACCAACTAATCCATGCTTTTTGCTATTTCTCACAGTATACTGGAATAAACAACAATAATAACTAGAAATTAATTTGAACCTCTTTTATCATTCAAATAATGTTACAATCTTTATGTTGCGGGTCACCAAATGCAAAAATGGAAGGTCAGAGAATTAAATTATCATGGGTTTTCAGTCTCTTGACAATACTTGTAAGGCTACTTTTAATAGTGAGACAAATGTACGGGACATTATTTTTTTTCTGATTATTGACCAAATTACAAAGTACTACTATAAATGTCTATTGAGCTAACAGCATGTATTACCGGTACTATATTATGCAGTCATTAATTTCTTAGAATGAAGACATTCAATAATTGGTATTGATTTATTTTTTTTCAACAAAAAGAGGTTAAGGTCATATTAAATTCGATAGATATAATATGTAACAAAACCTGACATGGTGTCTGGTTACTGGAACATGATTTATTCTAAGTAAATTAATTCAATTTTTCCATAATGACAATTAAAGTTACTTTTTAATTTCCTAACTTCAGACAGATTGAGTGGTTTACAATTAAGTTTAGGAAGACTCGGAAATTCAGGCAGGTGATGAATCAGATAAGAATTTTTTTTCAATCATAAATGAAGCCTTGTCATCATGGCAATATAAAGTGACGTTATAATTTAGTTTTCATATGGGAATTCATTATGTGTTATACGGTTCAGTGGGTCTAAAATTGTTTTACAATTTGTTTACACAATACTGCCTACATATAGGATTGGGGTGTTGAAATGTATGGTAGATATTTTTTCACAGCATACAAGCAATGACTTAACCCTAGCTTTCAGTGCCATCGTTTTTTTTCTTAGCTAAGTTTTGATGCAACAATTTGCCATTTTTTTATGTGATGTTCTATATTATTTTGGTGAAGGGGGGGGGGGTAATTTTAGGCTAAAAGGACATAATCTCCTACAAGTCTTGATCACAATTGTTGGGAAAATTATGTGGATTTGAAATTTGTAAAAAAAACAAATTGAAAATTGGTTATTGAATTCGGAAAACGGAACAAATAAAACCACAATTGCAATCAAATAATGTTATTTCCATAGTACTATGCCTAGAACTTTGTGACCTCAATTTGTTACTAACCCAGTGATCATCAATCAAATGCAACTCATCAGACAAGATACATTTTACTCAAATTACTCTTGATATATAGTGTTATGATATACATACCTTTCTGAAAAAAACACCTAGAGTGGAAAAATGACAAAAATAATTGGTTATTTTTATTACTAAACTTACAGAAGACTCCCCAGGTGTATAGTGAAAGTATGTTCTAGCCATAGTCATAAGTTTTGAGAAAGTTGATCATTAATCAATCACAGAGCTATATATGACATAACATTTTAGCAAGTGCCACAATACTATATTTTGCTAAAATTAGCCAACTATTTTTCAAAAATTCTGTCGAACATGATGTTAAACGCAAAAAAAAGAAAAGAAAAATTACAAATTCAGATGTAGCATAATATCTCTATCACAGGAACTAATGATTAAAGTGTTCTAAGGTATAACTATTATTTTCCTTGAAATAAAGACTGACTCTTAAACGTGTTATCAAGTCAACGTTCTGATATTGGCAATTGTACTATCCACTGCAAAATGTATTTTTGAGGAGTGCAGGCTTCTACCTTAATGAGAACAAATCCAAGGAAAAAAGCGTAGTGGCCATCAAGTCATTTATCGGCCCTCCCCGGATACTATGCGATACGATAGTTAAAATACCACAATAGAGGACAACTTTTGAAAATATTTCCGGTAAATTAACAGACAATATACTTGCTAAACAGAAACGTCAAATTACACATTGTGTATGATAAACCGCTATATACGAACACATTACTTACTGCCCTGCACTGTAGCAGACTACGTATAAAATGACATTAAAAATATACGAACATTGCTGTTGCCAATGGAAACGTTTAACTTTCGGTAAAAAAAACACTGCACCTCGTTACAGGCATCATGGGTTTTTATTCTCGATGGCAAACCTTACCTTGCACCTTTCCAAATACTTCGAAATCGATCGACATGAGAGTTGATCCAGTGCCTTTCATTACAGCACCACCGACAGTTTTAGCTGCGGTCGCCATCCTCGCTGCAACGTAAAACGCGGAGACGAGGCTGTACGTGTGTGTGTGTGTGTGTTGTATATAGCGATTTTTAGACACTGGCAAGTTAATATAGTATTTTTTTTATTCAGCCTTCCGTGGGGAACATTGTCCATACAATATTGGCGTCCTAGTTGACCTTGTCTTTTGTTAATAGGAGTGTAAAAATGACGAGACCCGGGTTATTTCGCGGTAACCCGGCCTCGCCATTTATACAAGAAACTACATGCAAGTCCAGGGCACAGTTCGGGGTCGACCATACAACAGGAAGTACATTATGATATTACTATAAATATAAAACAAAATTTGCATGTTTCCGGAAACAGGCAAAAACAAATTCTAGGTAGGCAGGTTTTTGTTTTTGTTTTATTTCTTCTAATGTGCTGTACACATTATTTGCTAGAATTCGGGTAACTATAATTCAACTACAGATGTGAAAAATGACATCTAAGTTAGTTTTAAGAATATGTTTTATAAAACTAGTAGTAGTAGTCATTCACTAAATAAGAGGAAGTAAACAAAATACAAAATTTCAACACCGTTCGAATGGTCACAGCTAATTTGCGTAGAAGTAAATAAAATTTGGCATGAAAACTTATTTGCATAAAAACAAACAGGGTTACCGAAAACATATTTTTTTATTTGGCTTAATTTTTGTTGTGTCTTCCATTTCCTGTCCATAGTTTGTAATGCTCAATTTTGGAAAGTTAAACTGAACGTATAACATAAAATGCAACAACTTTTAAAACAGTGAAATTGTCATAATAGACAGGAATAAGGTTTTTTTTTAATTATATATTTATATGTACAAGAAACAATTTTATGCTCATGCTCCATCGATTAACTACACACAGTCAAAACATCTTTCCTGTGTGGCGCGCCCTCTAGTGACGAAATATTTCTATGACGTAAATGGACATAAAGGCCGTCTAAATCATCGATATCGTTTTGGTCTGTAGTGGTCCATTAATGAAGATTACGTTTGGACATTTAAAAACTGAATTAATCCAAAAAAGTCCATTCATGAGACTTATAATTATATAACACTTATTCATCGTTGATGTGGCATTTTTTACTAATAAAGTATCCGGGCTATTCGTCCCGAGTGGGCGATAGCGATAACATCGAGACCACTTATAATATTGTGTTTGTTTATTGTTATTAGGTAGCTAACTTTGTTAATCGAGTGGGTTGCATCTTTACTAGTTTGTGCGTTAGGTATTTCGTATCTCAAAACTAAATCTGATTTTCAACAAAATATTGAAAAGGGACCGGGACTTATAGCAAAAATGAGTTACTCAAGTGGGGTGACAGACACGCATTTGAAAAATTTTACGTCAAAATGTTGTTTGATTAGTTTAGTGACAATTCAACTAGACAGACGAGTCGATTGCTTGCATTAATGAAACGTCCCTGCCCTTTATACCCATTTTACCTATTCATTAATGGAATTAGCTTGACCTGCAGCCGTTCTGAAAACGAGGCCAGAATAAAAGCAAAATGGCGATAAGCGGTGTGTGAGTCAGCGTTGGTGGTATATCATATAATTTAATACTTGTATGTGTCATTCCTCATATTATAATCGCTTCTGAGACATGGACGTCCGAGAAACAGAGCTGGGGTTTTGTCCACAGAAAGAGATACCCTACAACAAATTGTTGCCATATAGTGACAAACTAGACGATGAATCGAACAGATTTCTCTCTGAAGTGAAGGCCAACTTGGGAATAGCTGTGCAACTTCGTGAGTTGAGGCCAGGTGTTTTACATTGGGCAACTCGATTATCAACGTAAGTATTATTATTAAACTAATGATGATGAATTTGATACAAGAAAGACATGTTCTAAAATTGTTATCAATGACTCGATCGCCTTGATTATGATATTTTGTTTTTATATTGTCACGTGATAAGGCATGTTTTTAAAGTTGCGATGAAATGTACATACAATGTATATTGCCGTGTTGTTTTTTAAACTATCATAACCACTGTTTTTCAAATTTACGTGACCTATGATTGGCAGATGGACTTTTCCAGAAAGTAATTCTCGAGGAAAATTGCATTGACACACTAAGGAATCAATGATTGTAAGAGTTGCTATTTTGCATCGTGGTGGATGGCTGCATGTTTGCTCAGGTTGTAATGAAATTAATCTTTTGTGACAATACTTGTGTTGTGGGGCTTTCACACAATACAAGCAAACAGGCTAACTGCTTTAAATTCTATGAGAACATGAAGGTATATTTTTTACCTATATGATCAGAAGAAAGGACAGTGTCTCTCTTCCTTTGGTCGCCATCGATAGCATATCAAAGTTTACATTAGCCTAAATTGTTTGAACACTTGGGCCACAAAATTCCATAACCTCGTCACTCATCATTGAATATTCAGAACAGAGATTTATAGAAGTGTAGAACACATTTCTCTGAATTACTTCACTTTTCTCAGTGCTGCTAACACGAAATGTAACCGATAGACTGTATAGGTGCAACCAGGGAGCTGTAACGATTACATTACAGCTTCCTGGTGTAACTCACTAAGAGTTCTGTCTTCTCACTTTTTCAGGTATATCCGACTCTATGGCCGCAAGTTTTCCAAGGAAGACCATTTGGTGTTTGTTAAATTAATGTACGAGTTGTTGACAATTCCAGATTTGGAATTCAGATTGATTCAGAAATTTGCACACACTCTGGTGACACTGTTGAAGTAAGTTATAATTTGATGTAGTGTGTGTAACTTTTGCAGTCTGATTTGACAAAAAAAAAAGAAGAAATAACACTTTCAGAATATTATTCACAAGACAAAAAATGTCTCATAAATTTGTTGTGAAAAAATTACAACAAAATCAAATATGATCATAGATCCGTATTGGGAGGCTGTCACAGAAATGGAAGCCTCATGATGATGATGGTTAAATTGAAAGGCGACCATTTTGAATTTGAGGGGGAAGTTAATTATTGTTGTCCCATTTATGAACTTATTGAGTTGTGACAATTTGCATAAGAGTACAATCTCATCATGAGAATGCGAAATTGAAAAGTGGCCATTTTGGATTTTAGCTCTCTTGGTTTGGTGACTTGACTACGTCACATGCATGGTTACTGTAATTTTGTGTTGTATACATTTACATTGTATCATCTTCAATTACAGGAAAAAAGCACTTTTATCAAGAGATGATCTCATATTGCCATGGCGACCATTATACAAAGTGGTTGAGAGGGTTTACTATTCTCATTATGAACCTCTTGGTTTGGAATGGCTTCCTCCGTAAGTAGTTAACATGGACTGTTAAAACTTTTATTTTTGATCAGTGAGTTTATTCAGTATACACAAGCCATAAATCCGCCAAAAAATAAATACAGTACCTATAAGGAAATATCAATATATGACCAATATAATCAATGGATTATTGCATTGCTCCATTTCCTCAGCCTGAAAGATATGTTAATGATAAATTGAACATTTTATTTGGCACTATCCGTATGCTGGTTAATAATTAAATTTTAATCACAATTGTCATTGTTTGCCCAACATTGATTTTAGTATTGTCATGGCTTCTGAAAAATCATGCAAAATTCATCTTCAATGTAGTGGGATTTGCAAATTACACACATTCTCACAGGGCAATCAAAATTATGTCTGCACCCTGTTTTAATAACAAAATTGTTACTGGATCAACCCAACTGGGTCAGTGGCTTTCAGTGCTTATTTAAAACATACAATCTTTTAGGCAAATTTAATTCATTTCCCACTCAGCTCGAATTAAGCGTATTTAAAAGTTTTTGAAAACCTATTTACAGTGCAAAAAGTACAACATTTTTTAATTCTTGTGTTATTTGGGGACCCGTCTTCACATTAACTTGTTAATGAAACTAACAAAGAAGATTTAATGTTACCGGTAATACACATAGTCTACCCTCCACCAGGCATTTGAATCGTTAAGTGTCTCGTACACTCAGCTTAACACATGAATTTACATTTTTGTAAATATACATACAAGTATTGTTGCTACATTTTAATCAAAACATAGACTTGCTGTCGGGAAATTTGGGCAACACCCACACAGTGATATAAGAAATGTTTTTATAGTCAATTCAATCTTCTCTCATATTCAAGTAGACTCAAGGTGAGCGTAAATATATTCAACTTTTAATTAGCTATATATAATAGATTCTAATAGAGTTATAGTGACCACAACAGTTCAAATGAAAAAAAACCAGCAGGCTGTGCTGTTGACTCTGATGGCTAGCTTGTAAATTCACTGTTAGCACTGAACTGCACACCATACTAAGTCCAGTATATGCCGAGATAATGCAATCTAACTCTGTCAAAATAGAGTTTCCAAAGATATTCACTAATGACATCATCCTTCGTACACAAATTCAAAGGCTGGTGTTATGTGTTCTCATGGGGGTGCATGGATATTCTAGAGCCACAGTTCAGATTTGAAAATTAATAGCAATACTTCTCATCATCGGAAAGACTTTGTTGGCATGTATTTTCAGATGGTTCAATTCCAATCCTGATGATCTAGTTCAAGTACTTCTAATTACCAACGATTTTAAGCCAGTTGCAGATACAATTGATTCCTCAGCGTTACAATTATGATTCTCAAAATATTCAGTTGACAAAATTGTGTTGGTATCAAAAGTTAATACCAACTAACCTTAATATTGCCTTGTAAAAATCCTCACCTAAAGAAGGTCTTTGTTTTCTCATGAGATGTGAAATACATGTAATTTAATATTTTCCTGACAGCTAGTTTTTGTTTTGACTAAAATACAGTCATAGCTGTGATGACATTAAGAGCAACTTTCATAAATTCTGATAGTGTAACAAGATTTGGAACACTGTTGTGATTCAAAAAACTGTTTCATGACTTGTAAAACAAAGACAGACATGAAAAACAGGACATATGCTGGATTACATTTGGGTGAAGATAAATATCTATATGTATGAGGTTTGTTGCTTTTATCTCTTCTATCTTCTTCCAGAACCATTGACAATGTACTGAAAAATCTGATAAAGTGTGCCAGATTGTAAGTATTAAGATTTGTTGGTGTGTGTTTGAATCTACCCTGCCTATCCTCGGGGGCGGAGCTACGTCACAGACGTTCCACGTTGCTAAGACGCGAACCACTGTACATGCATTTCTATGGGCTCTGTGCGCGCTGCTGTGGAACGCCGGTCGAGCCGGTGAAAATTCGAGAAAACAACACAAACTCAACTTTGAAGTAATCCCGAACAGCCAAATTTATATATGTTACACACATAGGGCTAATCGTGTTACACTGTTCAGGGGAATCTCAACAATCATCCCAAAGTACTGTTTTCTGCGAGTTTTGGGCCTTTGTTTTCACCGCCGCGGGTTGCCAGGCGGTGAAAATGCCCCAATGTCCGCCCCCGAGGATACAGGGTTTTTGATCCTACAGCGCCCTCTTGTGGTCAGTTTGTTTTTCCTCAATCATCTATCAATGTTATGGCAGATGAGTATTAATATCCAATATTTTGCAGAATTAGGACTGTAGCATGTAGCAATAATATGAGGTTATTATGAGGATACCGAAAAGTATGCTCGAAGACAGTACAGTGAAAGTATCGACTGACGCACAGCAGAGGCCGATGTGGCGGCATACTTTCTGAGTGCATACTTTGAGGTATCCTAGTAATAACCTTATTATAATCTTTTCCTCCCAATAATACATCGTGGGAATGCCAAACTCCAAAAAATGTTTAGAACAGAATCAACAAACTTCACATATATTGCATACCGTATTCAGCATCATTTTCCCATTCTATAGATACTTTCCTCTGGAGAGTACCCAAGAGATGTTGGATGAATGGCGGCCATTGCTGTGCCCGTTTGATGTCACCATGTCCAAGGGAGTCGGCTACATGGAAATGTTTCTACCAACTACATTACCTCCCGAGCATCATGATAAGGGATTCAGGTAAAACTTGATCGGTGTTATACACGTGGTTGCACCATGTGTCATAATTACTGATCAATAAAATACTACAGTATGTAAATGTTACTGTAGGGCTTTGCTAATTTCACTGATGGCAAATCAAGTCTGATAAACTTAAACCAAGTAAATATTTCTTTGTTTGTTATCAGTAAATTTTAACTCTGATAAAATCAACTACTTCATTTTAATATCACAAATCAAACAAAACTTGCTCTCCGGTGGGAGTGGGTTCAGGAGGTCAGTCAGTGCCGTCAAGCAGCGATTCATGATGTAGACACATGTGTATTATTATATCAACATCCATAGTGTCAAATCATAGTTATGTCACCTATAGTAGGAATGCTGTACTTTTGTACAAACAAAGAAAAATAATACTATATTCTGTATATTAAAGCGCTGCACATGTGTGACATTTGTGTTGATAAACATTGATTTTCTCACAATCCAATGCGCTCTTCGAATGGAAATCACAAATATGAGGTTTGGATTTTGCGCGACTTGCACTAAATACCGCCGGTGACTCCTTCAATACCTTCCAATCACCTAAAAATTATCTAATTAAAGCTTAGAAATGTCTCAGTTTGTACTCGTTGATCTGCGCAACAGTCAAAGTCGTAGTCTTTGTTTATATTCAACCCATATATCTCGAGCATGCGTGGCGCGACAACTATCGATCTTTAATAATCTGATCACTTGTTCTTGTTGTATGTAGATTGTGGTTGGATGAGATGCTGAATCTATGGGATGCTACTCACAGTTCACCATCATGGGAAGTGGTAAGTGGGCTTCTGTTGTACGTTACTCATGTTTATAGTGTAGTCTTTTTAGTGACTGAATACTACTCCACCATCAATCATGTTATACTTTCGTAATTTCTTTTTATGACTGTGATGCTGACGATGTTTTATATTCACTGAGGGCAGTATCTGCCCTTTTTGGCTGAAAAATTCTTCTTGACAAAAATATTGTAAATTGGCTTTTGAGTGGACTATCAACCACTGGGGTAGAACCTCTGATGCTGTGAATGCAAAATATGTTAACAGAAGAAATGGAATCAGTAGATGCCTACTCATAAGTGCAAATACACAGAATTTATTTATTCTGCAGTAAATTGTACTCCTGGGCAATATAAAGATATTGACTTGGGGGAGGGGGGTGTCTAATTTTTGAGAAAAGGATGGATATATTTTAGTGAATATTTGCCTTATATCTTAAATTGTAAGCTGATGACACCGGCTAAATGTTGTCCTTATTTTTATTTATTAAGTTATTTAAAAAAATCTTTTCTTTAACATTGTGTTCTATGGAATTTTTCTGAAAAATAATAGAAATGCTTTCTCAAAATTCGTCACTATAACACACAAAAGAATGCTATTTCATGGTGTCATGTAAATGATTTTACATAATAAACCAATGAACATTGTCATACAATTTATGACCAACTTTCTCGAAAATTAAGAGTCTGCTTCTACCTCGAGTTCATTTAATTTTGTACAAGTGAACTTGTGTATTGAGCAGCATTGATGCCAGTGACCTTGTACATTACGTTATGATGTTCTTTCTTCTTTCATCGCAGTCTGTAGTTGAGTTATTTGCTAGAGTGGCGAATGATAACATCGGGTACATTGATTGGACGCCATATATACCAAAGGTATTTATATTTTTAAATACTTCCCCATATATTATTAAATGGTCTCTGTCATAATTCTTAACATAACAGTGTTAAAGCGTGTCATGCCAAGTTTCCTCTGTTTAATTTTGCTGAAGACATAAATTCATACAGAAATCGCATAAACTGTTTGTTCATTCATTTGTCCGCCAGCATTTGTAATGTCTTGTCCCTCCCTCCTGCTCTGAGTTCCCTAGAACATAACAAATATTTAGAAAGTAATATGATAAAATTATAATCATATTTAAATTATAATTCTTTGTAATTAATCATTGGATTTTTGTGTTTACTTTCAGATATTTACACGGATGTTGAGATGTTTCAATCTACCCGTTGGTACCAAAAAACTACAAGTTGGTAGAGCTTGTAACAGTTATCATATACCAACCATGTGTACTTTGATAATAGCCATGTTGGTGAGTTCAAATAGTGTGTAGCCTGACATATAAGCGGGAGTAGGCCCTCGTCGACTGAACGGCATCAGACCTCACTGACGCCTGACAGAATGGTGTATGTCTCGACAGCAAGATCAATACTGCGAATTCACAAAGTTCACGCCTTCTTGCAATGAATTCATTTATTTTGATGGTCATGGTAACACCGTCAATCAAAGCCATGTTTGCATTGTCGGCAAAAATCACATACTGTTTTCAATAAGATGATAAATATTGCAGTGAATGGTCACTCTTTGATGGTTGTCATTATCTGACGTTCCTGCAATTTCATTGATACCAACAAAAAATCGTTGGGCAAGTGAAAAACTACATCGTACTGCCAAGCGTGCGTTGGGTTTGGAGCACCGCGGAGGGCGCAACAAACCCGACCTTGTTAGGCTAAATAGTGTGTGGCAACTGTTGTATAAATAATTTTGCCTGCCCAAATTCTTGCCAGTATTTTTTCTGCCAGAATTTTGCTTTGATGCATTGCTATACTATTTGTGAACTTTATTTGTTTTCTGACAATGAGATTACCAATAAAATCCTATTATAAACCGCGGTTTATATTACAATATATCAAATAAAAAATTGGGATCAACAGCTCAAGTTCAGGGTGCGGTTTCTATTACGTATATATTGCAATCACTAAATGGGCATAGTCGTTTTTTCCCACATCACTTGCACAAAACAAACAATACACCGTACAATCTTTTGAATATAAGCGTACCTCCAATTTAGTTGTCAGGGAAGAGTGATAAGCGTCACGTCATAAAATAACTTCACATGAAAAAAATACTCAGTATATTTAATGTAATATGCATTTATTTTTTTTAATTTTCTTTGTAACGGAAAGTATATTCTGGCACGAGTTTCAAATAAAAACAAACATTAATGCATTGCTTAGTAGAAAATTATCATGGTACGGCACTAAAAAAGTACGGTACCGTGGGTGTATGGTAACGCAATCCGGCCATGCTTCGGCTCACAAGTGAATAACTTACTTGTTTTCGAAGTGTTTAAATTGTTGATTATTACTCAGTAGTGATTATAATAACCCACGAAAAATAAATTCGTTGAATTGTTATCAAATGCAAGTAAAATTCAACTTAGTTTCACCATAAGCGAATTATTTCTGTCACATGTAAACGATCGATACGACATGTACGATACGACATCCGCCATGTAGTTTGAATGCACACGAGACGTTACTTGACCAGATAGGTCAAAGTCGCTATTTAACCAATCAAAATGCTGATGGGTGCCCACGTGTTCACCTTAGTTCACCACCTTAGTTCATCTAAATATGTTAATGACAGGTCACCGACTTCATGGTGAATGAAACGCGGAAGTGATTTACCGATAATGTAGTGCAATCTTTTGGCTTTGATTTCCATGGGAAAACGACATAACTTTTTTTTTAAATCAAGAAATTAGTTGTTTTTGAAAGATAAACTGAGCATTGAAAAAGAATATAACAGTTTTTCGGTGATAACAGCTCATTGTCGAAAACTTGCAACACATGGACGTATTCATAAAGAGTATTGACGAAAGTTGTCGCAAGAACAAAAGCAGTTTCACTGCGTGTTTGACATCCTAACACTACTGAACAACAAAGAGGTGTGAATATTTTTAGGCACGTTGTCGAAACAAATGAATAGGATTAGGAACAATGTACCAGCTGGTTGAAACAAAGTCAGTCACGGTCTTGTTGAATTGCGGGTGCAGTTAGTAATAGGTACTTTTCATGTTTTCAATTTTTGTTGAGAACTCTTCAATACTGAAGCCGAAATCAGGGGTGCGGTTACTATTAGGTATGCGGTTTATAATAGGATTTTAACGGTAATACATTACAAGAATTACTGAAGGTACAAAATTTTATTATAAAAGTACCAATACATGCACAGCATTTATTTAATTGATTTCCACAGTCTATTATGTAACCATCCTGAATTCTCATTTGCTATTTATCTAGATTCTCAATGAGCAAGGTTGTTATAGTTACGCTATGTTTTATGATTGTTGTTTATCTTGCATCTTTCTCTGTTAATTCATACTTAATTCTATCGTTTTGAAATTACTAGATTTGTGTAAATGTTTACTTCTTTTTACATCATTATCATGCCTCCGTTTGTCAGCATGCAACAATGATGAATTAATATTGGTGAGAGGGTTGAATATTTTAGCAATAATCATAAATTGTTTATCTTTGATAGGGACCTGATGGTGTTTGTGAAGATCATTTAACTAGATTTATCCTAGCTTTAGAATCTTACTATCATCCATCAAATATGGGTAAATATACGGTGAGTGATATCTATAATAGATGCTGAATAAGTAGTCAAAAATACTGTAAATCATTAAAGAAGTTTAATAATTCATGTGTGTGGTAAACACCCACAGTGAAATTTTCACTGCTACAAAATATTGCAAAATTTGTAAATATTTTCCTTGCCCAAAATTGTTGTCGTGTTTATGCATCATTAATAACAGTATTCAATGATGTCATGTTAGTATACAAGCATTATTGTTTGCTTTATTTACAACTGAAATCTGATTAAAAATTGGAATGAATGCAAATAAATAAATAAATAAATAAATACAAATATGTTGCATTCTATTCTTTTTGGTGCCAGATTACGGTAATACGGTAGTAATTTTTTTTCTGCATTTTTAGATAAAACTTCAAGGCCTTCTGTATAAATTACCAGCAACTTTTGTCAGGAGAATTCACAGGTAAATTAATTACATAATATTCATTTTTAGTTTATCCGTACATCCGGTAATATGGTCATTGCAGCATGTCTTCCATGGTGTCACTCTTGGTGGGGAATTTAGCTTTTTGTATTTGACGATCATGACTAGTTAAAAAAAAAAAGAGATTCCTTCTGAATATGCATCTGGTAGATCACCCTAGTCTTGATTTTATCGGCAATCAGCATTGTTGATGTTATAGTACATGTATATCATTTGTATGTCGCAAGTAGTTCATTGCATTTGTAATAACACTCGTCAATACCAATCTTTGATTCATTACAGGGAGCGTTACAAGAAACCCTCTTGGATCCATACTATCCCGGATAGTCACAAACTCTCAGATAAAGCTATCACTACATTTGTCAATAGTATTATTCCTGCTGTCTTTCCTGCAATCTTCAGTAAGATCGGTCACATGGAGGCGGCGACGGCTCTCCAGCATATTGCGCTACTCAGGCCGGAGCTGGTCATACCACCGCTACTTGAAAAGTAAGTACAATGATAATGTCAATGTCATTGTGCAGCTGTGCCTGTTTTGAATAATCTGTTATATGAATATATGTTGTAATGTTAAATGTACATTTAGTAAATTCCAAGAATAATTGATATTCAGTTTGTTCGTACCAATATCTTTGCTTATATCAATGTACAATGACATTAAAAGTCTTCTCTATATGGTTATGTCAAGACATGGAAACACATTCAGTCCTCCCTGGTTGGTAACTATGACAACGTCATTTAAAGACTTTGCATATAACAGTCCATAACAGTATTCACAGATTATTTAACACTCTGCAACTCATGTTGACTGAGCAATCTAGCTGCAAAAAATATGGTGCAGTATTTTGACAAAATTTTGTTCACTCTGTGAAAGATGGCTAAAATTGACTTGCAAACCACGTTCATGAGTTTGCCTGGCTCAACCCCATATCTGTATTTAGTAAAAAAATCTATCCCATCTTTGTATATCTGTTCTGTCTATTCCTCATCTCAGGACGTACACAGCATTGCAGACATTGACAGAACCCCATCAGCTGATTGCTACGTTAAGCTGTATAGTGGCCGTGTCAAGAACATTACTGAAAGGTGGTAAATGGGTGCCAGATGGTCCCACTCATCTAATGCCGCTACTACAGCTCACATTACCAGGAATTGATACCAATGATATAAGGAAATGCATGGTAAGCTGCATGTATTTGAACACAAATTTTAAACCATTGAAATCCATGTATAATGCTCTTTTTGTGTATATTGATACAATTCATTAAACCTGCTCACAAACTTGAATTTGATGATAGTCACCCACCAAATCTTGTACTACCCAGGCTTTTACACTACATGGATATTCATGCTGTTTTCTGCATGTTATACATTGGACACCAAGTGGTATAATAGACAGACTTCTCCCACATGTATTGTCACCCCCATTCTAGTGCTTCATACAGCAACATAGACCGCCTAAGCTGCTGATTGGTGCATGTCTTGAAATCAAACATGATTAAAACTTGCTCTTGATGTCAAATTAATACTGATGAACATGTTCAATATAATTAAAAGATTTTTCTCTCAATTTATTTTATTTATTTGTTTAAATTGCCATATGGCAAGTTCATTAAATATATTAAACAAAATCTATGAGTGCTGACTCAGTTTCAAACCTCAGAACACAGCTGCTAGTTAGGTATGAAAGTGCATATAACGCTCATTTGAACTGTTGCTCTGGTCATGGTCAGGGGGATTTGACAGAAAAAAAACGGCAAACCTTTATAGAAAATAGTTTGATCTAAATGCAATTAAGATTGGCATAGCAAAGCAGGCAACAACTTGGCTAGCAATGCTGCTAAAACAATAAGGCGATGACAGTAAAACATGGGGGAACTGAGTGAGCTAAGAAATATGCCTTTAAAGTATTATTACTTAAAGTTGATGTCAAAATGATTATGCAAAGGATTTTGATATTTCTATTTTCTAGGTGACTTTTCAAGTTATCTCTACCTTTGTTTCCTTGGTGCCGTTGGTGGACTGTTCCTCTGCTCTGTATCTGAGAGATGATCTGACAGAGATTGAAAGAGAGGTTTGCTCATCAACAGCTGGATTTGAAGAATTCATTCTTGTTTTCATGGATAGGTAAATACCTGCTCTATGTGATCGTTGACAAACGTCCACATTTTTTATCGCTACTAATATGCCTCATCCTAGTATTTTGATGACTTAAGCCACTAAAATCGATTCACGTGCATTTCTTGTTGGTTTTTTTCAATATGGATGATTTTTTTCTCCTTCTCATGGCTTTGTAGGTGTTTTTCTTTGATTGAGAACAGCAATCCTGATCCAGCAACTAGACACCATGTAGACGGATCCAAGAATCAACATGAAAGTGTGATGGAGGTTGCAATAGCATCCACGTTTAGTTCTATATTTACTCAGAGTTCACCTCAGTTGTATGAGGTGTGTTCTTTCATCATTTGTATTTGTAATCCTCTCTAATCGCCCTACTGATT